TTTAGGCCATTGGCCAGGATAAAGAAGTATCCCATGAAAGGTGCACTGTAAACATTCATGACTAAATCCCTAGAGCTAGGGCTATAGTTTATACCCTCACTCCTAAGAGAGACCTCAAGACCCAACTGGAGGAAAATACAACAGGGATATTCTGCTAAATCATGTAACAACATGGATGAATCTTAAAAACATTCTGAATCAAGACTCGCATGAAAGAATATGAATGATTCTATTAATATGATGTTTCTGAAAAGGTAGACATATATGAAGGTGAAAATATTATAACAATGGGGATGCTCTGGGCAGAGTGGTATTGGGGATTAACTGGGAAGGCACATGAGAAAACTCTTTGTGGTGATAGAAATATTCTGCGGCTGGATTGGGTTTGGATTACGTGGGTCTGTATATTTGTCTAAACTCATTGTATGATGCACTTAAGAATTGTGCATTTCACCGTAAGTAAATTTTATCCAAAATGTGAGTATCTATATGTCTATCTAAATGCAAAAACTTATAATAACTGCCATTGGCAAGCCATACATTTGTCTAGTAAAATTTCTAGCAGTCTCAATACAAAATACAAAAGGACTTTTTTTTTGCTTGTTGCCTGTTCTTATATACGGTTACCTTGCTCCTAAATAGTAAACAGCTCCTCTCTCCAGTAGATCACCTGAGGGTCCAAGATTCTTTGTGCCTCTTGGACTCATGGCAGAGATTGTTTTTCCAGGATGGCATTCAGTCATGATTTTATCATATATTTATTGTTACTATTTATATGTGCCACTGTCTCAATTGCTTTGAGAATTGATTAGCAATCATGACAGACAGTCTAAACTAGTACACAAGGGTAAAGAATATTTCCCAAAGCGTGTTTGGTCATTGGGATGTGCTTGAGTGGTGATGTGGCAGAACTTGGAGGACTCTTCATACTCCCTAGTGTACACCAGGCAGATGTCAAACACTGAATTCAGGAGGGAAGTCAATGAACCTGCTGCCCTGAAGGAAATGTTTCAGAGTTGGTAGAGTGTTCTAAGATTTCTGAGGCCAAATACAAAAGTAAAGATATAAAACTTCTTTGTGTAAAAGATAAGCAAAACTCCAGCTGATCTGTCAATATCTGACATATCTGTCCTAATTGGAACAAGCTTTTTACCAACTGAGGAAGGTTGCAGAGAACAATGATTTCTATAACTGTGGCTCCTAAGTGGAGAGAGAGAACACCAGGATGTTTCTCAAAGCTCCATTATCCTGCAGGGATCATCTAAGACATTAGAATTTACTGTGGACCCAAGGGGTATGATTCTAGAGACTCCTATGAGTAGTCACAGAATGAAAAAATGAAGTAAGGAAGAAGCTAACCATGACAACAAAGTGTTTTCAGTTCAAGAATGAGATACGGAGTAAGTCCGGGAAACTGAGCTCACTAGTCATCATTTTGATTCCTGCTCTTTGCCACTATGATCATAAGTCTAACTCTACTATGGAGAAATGAGGAACATAGTTGAAAGAACTATTGACAAATAATGTCACCACTGAGTTTCCATCCAGAATGAAAATAATGAATGCAGGTGAGTTCTGGAACATCAATTAGACAAACCAAGGGGGATTCAAACATCAAGATTCAAGTTCATGATTCACCAGGAAGCTTATTAGCATTTCATCTTGGAAATGGATACCACCAGATCCTTGAGGCTGAAGAGAAAAAGAGTTACAAAACCACCTATATGTGCATACACACATTAAGCATATGGATGTGTGAATAGAGCTATGCATATGGACACACCCAGAGAAAATGAATTATACAAGTTAATTTCCAGAGTTCAGAACAAAACCGGACATCCCAGGGAAGGAAGCTTTTACAGTTTAGAGGAGAGAGAGTTCTGTGGGCAGAAATTGCCGTGGGAAATTTCCTGGAGAAGATGATTCTTTGCCAAGGTAAGCCAAAGGGATCTCTGACACATTGACAGAAACAGTGTTCATAGCAGCCAGTAGAAGGAGTAATGTGCCTAGTTCAGGGCCGTATCTTCCATGTAGCTGCACATATCTACAGTGATTTATTGTCCTTTTGTCTCTGAAGGGCTGATACACAAAAGAGGAAGTGATTATGTCCCATGTAGCCAAAGGCTAAGTTAACACCCAGGATAGAGGTGCAGGGAGATAAGCAGACTTTGACCCAGGATGAGAAAAAACTTGCTGAACACTGATGTCCTCTGGCAATAGGAAAGACTTTTGAGGAAGAAGAGGGCTCCCTTTCACTGAACCACTGTTTTCTAGATATTTTGCCTCTTTCTTTCCTTGGCTTCTTCCTCAGAGTTCATAACCATCCTCTACATAATAGTTATTTATTATTGTGTAACAAACAACTTCAAAACTAAATGGCTTAAAATAACACACGTGTTGTCTCACAATTTCTGTGGGTCAAGATATGATTATAGATTAACTGGATCCTTTGCTTCAGGGTCTTTCACAAGGCTATAACTAAGGTTTTGACTAGGGGTGGGATCTCATTTGAAGGTTCAACTGGGGAAAAGTTTACTTCCAAGCTCACTTAAGTAGTTGGCAAGATTCAGTGCCTTGAGAGTTGTTGGGCTGAGGTCCTGAGTAAGTTGGCCAGAGACCTCTCTTGGTTCCTTGCCACATTTGTCTCTCCAATCTGGAAGTTGGTTTCACTAAAGCCAGCAAGTGAGTGTATTCTTTTGAAAATCAAGTTACTCTAGAGGAGAGGACGACACAAAGCCATGAATACTAGGAGACGAGAATCACTAAAGCCAAATTATATGCTGCTTGTCCTGCTCCAGATTCCACCAACATAGAATGTCTTCCCTGGACTCTATGCTATCCCTCCTGTTCCATGAAGCTGTTCAAACAAATGCTTTGCTGAGGTTGTAGAAGAAAAAAGCAAGCCCAAGAGCTGTGCCAAGGTCTGTCTCCAAGATGGTCTTCTCCTTCCTCCCATCCCTTGCCTGTCTCTTCATGTGTAAATTCTCCCCCATTGTTCAAGGACTTTCCAGAGACTGAATCCCCAGTGAAGTCTCCCCAGGGCTTTATATAGAAGTTGCCCCAAAATGTCCACAGCCATGCCCCTGAGCACTTGATTTGGAATCATTGTGCCCACACCTGCTGGTCCCATAGTGCATGAATAGAGGGCATTCCTAAATAACATTTAGCTCTCCAGTTTCTTTTCAAGAAGTTTTAGCATTTCAAAGTTTGCAGAAATTCAAAAAGGACATGGAAATGCTTTTTCTAACATCCCTCAATAGTCTAAGTGTGGAAAGTTCCAACAGAAAGAAAGGAAGGAGGAAAATAAGTCTTCCTGGAGTGCTTTTGGCATAATTGGATCTTGGGGACATTGTCTCAGAAGTATAAAAAGTTTCCTGACTTTGTACAATTCTACTTTCAAACTTTTAATCACTTCAGGGAGCAGAATTGTCCCAATCGCAGCACTGATTTCAAATTGCCTTTTTCATGTTCTGGTTATTCATTTGGAAATTTTGCTTAAAACATTAAACCAAGACTGAGTAGGAAGAACTAGCTTTCACTCTTTTCTTCAAATCAGAGGTGGCCATCTCAACCTGAGTCTTTCAAGCTAGTGCTGCTATTTCTGGCCCACACACTATTCCTAAGCCATGGGCACATTTTCTTAGTAGGCTCCTGACAAAGGTAAGTGAGGGTTCTTATAAGAGTAATACTTAACCTTTTTATTAGCACAGTAACATTTCTAACTTCTGACTTGATATTTCAAAGGGGTTGGGACTTGAGAAGGGAAGGAATGAAGCGATTTCAGCGCTATCACAAAGATTGAGGCCCATGCAAAACTCTTTCTTCATGGGACAGAAAATCTAGATGGCAAGGAGCCTATGAAACTTTTCAGTCTTAGGTCATGGACTTGCCTAACTTTAGAGACTCCCCCAGAAATAAGATGGTCCTATGGTTTCAGAGCTTCTTCTGTTGACTTCACAAACTCAGGCAATTCCAGAAGGAGGTGAAACCACCATCACATGAATGAGAGAAACTCAGAAGGCTGCTGACTTGGTTTAGAATAAAGAATGTTCTGACACTTCAGAGCTCTGTAAACAGGAAGCAGGCTGTTTGGGAATGTAGTGAGCTCTTCATCACTAGAAAAGATCAAGCTGAAAACCCATGCATCAGTGTTCTGCAGAAGAAGATCTAGAATTGGACAGAGGGTGGGACTAGATTTATTTGGGGGGCATAATCAGTGTCAGGGTCTACATCTGGTTGACATATTTAGGTTCCAGAACTCTTGATTCCTGTGTAGACACTCACCCCGACTGCCTTAGTTACCAGAGAAAACTAGAGTTCCAGAAATTGTGAGCCACTATGCATTTCTGGGGCCAGCCTTCTATTTATCTTCATGAAATATCAGATTCAAATATTAGAGACATATTGAAATTTCCAGAGCATGAAGTTACCTTGGAACCATCTCCCCTTTCCCTTGCATCTCTCCATGTCCAGTCTCCTCTTTTCCTAAAAGACCCAGCTAGGGCTGGGGTTTCCCATGAGAAAGATCTCAGGCAATAACCGGAGTTTGTTTTACATAAAAATTGTCTAATGAGAAGAAATAGTTATAAGGTGAGGATTCAGAAGTAATCAAGTCACTAGTATTTGGCACAAAGTTGGGGGACCATAGAGCAAACTTTAAGTCACTTTTCCGATCAAAGTTTAATGAGGTAAATTGCCTTGTAGGATATAGCCCCCCTAAATGAATGTGTTATGTGTTTTTGTCACTGATCACATGTGTTACATTATCAGAGTGATCATTTTAAACCTTGTGCATTTGGTGCCCTGTGTCCCCCAAATAATTTTTTATTTTGTTGTCTCTTTTTTCTTGGAAATAAATAAATATTGTGGACTTTCAAAACTATTTTCTAATCTCTTAACCAGACTGGAACCCCAGTCCAGATGCACTGTTCCTATGCAAGGCAAGGAATGTTGAGTTTGGACCTCTAAGTATTTCCTTCAGTTGACAGAGGAGATACACCATGGTAAGTGCCAACCAGACAGCCTCTGTGACAGAGTTTGTTCTCCTGGGCTTCTCTGCCTATCCAAACCTGGAGAAAACATTCTTTGTGCTCATCCTGCTGATGTACGTGGCAATCCTACTAGGCAATGGGGTTCTCATCCTGGTGACTGTGTCCAACTCCCACCTGCACACACCCATGTACTTCTTCCTGGGGAACCTCTCCTTCCTAGACATCTGCTATACAACGTCCTCAGTCCCCCTCATCCTTGACAGCTTCTTGACCCCCAGGAAAACCATCTGCTTCTCAGCCTGTGCAGTGCAGATGTTCCTCTCCTTTGCCATGGGAGCCACAGAGTGTGTCCTCCTGAGCTTGATGGCATTTGATCGCTACGTGGCCATCTGCAACCCCCTTAGGTACCCTGTGGTCATGAGCAAGGCTGCCTACGTGCCCATGGCTGCCAGCTCCTGGGTAGCTGGAAGCACTGCTTCCATGGTGCAGACATCCCTTGCAATGAGGCTGCCCTTCTGTGGAGACAACATCATCAACCACTTCACCTGTGAGATTCTGGCTGTCCTGAAGTTGGCCTGTGCTGATATCTCTGTCAATGTGATCAGTATGGGAGTGACCAATGTGATCTTCCTGGGAGTCCCGGTTCTGTTCATCTCTTTCTCCTATGTCTTCATCGTTGCCATCATCCTGAGGATCCCCTCAGCTGAGGGGAGGAAAAAGGCCTTCTCTACCTGCTCTGCCCACCTCACTGTCGTGATCGTCTTCTACGGGACCATCCTCTTCATGTATGGGAAGCCCAAGTCTAAGGACCCACTGGGGGAAGACAAGGAAGACCTTGCTGACAAACTCATTTCCCTTTTCTATGGGGTAGTGACCCCCATGCTCAACCCCATCATCTACAGCCTGAGGAACAAGGATGTGAAGGCTGCTGTGAGGAACCTGGTGTTTCAGAAACGCTTTGCCTTTTGATGTTTTGGGGGAACAGATGTCCCTGTAACTCTTTGCCTCTTGGCTGCTTTTACCCACAAATCTCAGAAGAGAATGTTCCCTAAAGAAGACACATGTGAAGAATGACTACCGGAAAATTGAAGTACTTATGTAATAGAGCACTTCAGCTGTGATTGGACCCAATTAAAATGTTGAAACCTAGAACCCAGGGGAAGTGTGGCTTGAGGGGATGGAAGCAGAATGCTGCTGAATATACAAGGAATGATTTTTCTGTTTCTCCATTGTTCAAGTCTGAATTCACCTTTGTGTGCAGATGGTTCCTCTGTTTTGGGAAAAACACCCTAGGGTACCTCTGTGTTACAAAAATGTAAAGCCAAGATTCTACTCTTGAAAGGAGACACTGAAGACACCGTGGGACAGAACTTCATGACCCTACCCACCTCCCTAGCACAGTGCTTCCCAACCTGTGTCTTGCCTTGGAGCACATAGAAAATAATGGGATGTGTAGGCACCCTGGGGTGAGTGGATGAATCTTTTCATGGCTGAAGGCAATTCACCTGGGGGCTTAGGTCACCACAGGTTCTGCTTAGTAATCCCAGGAGGACTCCGAGCTTCGTACATCTGTAGCCTGTGGCACATTCGCTGAAATGTTCTGCCTGAAGCAGAATGTGTCTTCCCTTAGCCCCTGCTGAGAGGACAGTCATGCTCTCTCCTTTGGCTACAGATAATTGGCGAGTTGACCCAAACTGGGCAAATCATATTTTCTCTCCAGGGAATTTGCAATTTGGACATGGAGACAGCTCATAGTTGGCACAAAGCTCTTGAACTGTTAGACCATGTAAAGAGGGCACGAATGTGGCCCTGTGTCTAGCAAAGAAGAGAAAGCTGGTCTGCAGAGAGAGATGATAAAGCAAATGCACAAAGAGGACCAGACCTACATGAAACAGAAATAAAGGCTGCAATATTTAGGCTAGGTATTGGAGAAGGTTTTTCTTTTATTTTATGGGAAAATTTAATCCTGTAGAAAGAATAACAGGTATTCATCTTCCAGATCCAAAGATGATCTGCTCATGGCTGGTGTGTGTGTGTGTGTGTGTGTGTGTGTGTGTGTGCAATTTTTAATTTTTAAAATTTTCCTGGGTACACAGTAGCTATATATATTTATGGAGTATATGGGATATTTTTATACAGGCATGCAATGTGTAATAATCACATCAGGGTAAATGGGGTATCCATCACTTCAAGCATTTATCCTTTGTGTTACAAACAATCCAATTATACTCTTTTAATTATTTTTAAATGTACAATTAAATTATTTTTGACTATAGTCACCCTGTTGTGCTATCAAATACTAGTTCTTATTTATTCTATTTTTTGTACCCATAAGCCATCTCCACTTCCCCTCTACCCTCTCATCACCATTCCCAGCCTCTGATAACCATCATTCTACTCTCCATCTCCATGGGTTCAATTGTTCTTTTAGCTTCCACAAATAAGTGAGAATATGCAGTTTTTCTTTCGGTGCTGCTTATGGCCAATCTTGTTCTTCTGATAGCCCTGTGGATTATTTCTCCCTCTCCTCAATTATTCTAAAGCAAATCCCAGATGGTAATAACATTCCATCTTGAAATATTTTGGTATTTATATCCATAAAAGATTAGTACTCTTGTAAAACTATAAAGTACCATTTAATATTTAACATATAAATCACCTAAAACTCAATAATTCCTTGATATCATCAATTATCCAGCATTTATATTTCCAGAAATGCCTTATAAGTTATTTATTTCAATTTTTAAATTGAACCAGGATCCAAATAACAACATACATTGTGATTTGTCTCTGATATGGTTTGGCTGTGTCCCCACCCAAATCTCACCTTGAACTGTAGTTCACATAATCTCCACGTGTTGTGGGATGTCATGGGAGGGACCTGGGGTGAGGTAATTTAATCATGGAGGTGGTTACCCTCCTGCTGTTCTCATGATAGTGAATGAGTTCTCATGAGATCTGATTGTTTTATAAGGGCCTTTTCCCCCTTTTGCTTGGCACTTCTCCTTATTGCTGCCATGTGAAGAAGAACATGTTTGCTTCCCCTTCTGCCATGATTGTAAGTTTCCTGAAGTCTCCCCAGCCATGCTGAACTGTGAGTCAATTAAACCTCTTTCCTTTATAAATCACCCAGTCTCAGGTATGTCTTTATTAGCAGAGTGAGAATGGACCAGTACAGTCTCTTTCAATCTTCATTTCCCCCTCCCTTTTTCTATATTTCCCTCTATCTCTGTTCCTACCACAAGCACCCTGCTTTTAGGCTAGACTTTTTTTGGAAGGAATAGTTTCTCATTATAGGAAACTATAAAGTTTACCACAGTCTGATTTTGTTGATTGCAGTTCTGTGGTGTCTGTCTTTGTGTTTCCCATATATTGGTGATTAGATCTAGTTACTTAAGTTTTTTTTTCTTTTTTTTTTTTGGTGGAGTTATGAGCTCATGGCTCCTGAGACCTTTTGCATGACACTAGTATCTTTGATGACTTCCTGCTATCAGTATGTCAAGATATTACAAGCTCAATATTCACACTTCCTTCCCAGACCTGAAACAACTATTTTGTCTAAGGAGCTCCTTTTTTCCTTTAATGGGGAATGGTATTTAGAAGTCATAATCTGAGTGCTAGGGTTACTATTGAGTTTCCCATGGTTTCTAAATGTTTCAGTGGAAAGAGCTATGAAAAATATATATATAATAATTGAATTATATGTATGCATGATATATAAATATATATTTAGATTTAGATCAAATACATAAATCATACATACATACAATTCAAATTAAGAGCTATAGATTTTTTACCTAGCTTCATTGATTTTATACCTATATTGCCTTCTTCTATATACTGTCTCCTCATTCCAGAAATGTTTGGAGATGCCTTGAAGTTATACACACATAATGATGTCAGGAGTTAACATTGAGCACAGCTTCTGTAAAGGGCAGAATTCAATCAAGCTGTCCAGTGGTGTGTGTCTGGGAGTACTGGGGCTGATCATAACAGTTGAGGTGATGATGTGGGCTGTGGGCCCTTTTCTCTCACTTGTTCCTGAGCTTCCTGGAGGAGATCTGAGTCTGGGAGTGAGGCACTGGGTGGCAGTGGGCTAGGAAAGAGTTGCAAGATAAATTCAAGCCTGGAAAGAAAGATTCCAGACTGGAACCTCAGGGCATCTTGCAGCTTGGGAATGACTTTCCTAAATCGTGATGAGGGCGGTCACAGGGCCCTGCTCACCAGGAGACTTTGGCAAAGAAGGGCACATGATGCAGTCAAGAAGGAAGCTGGCAGATCACCTCTAAATGGGGTCCAAAGTTCTGAATTCTGCATGCCTGCTCTGCTCGAAATAGACGTTTCCAATATGTAAGAGCCACTTAGAAAAAAGAAGTTTGTTAAATATTTGGAAGGATGGAGTCACAGTCAAAAACTACATATCTGGGGTCCATGGTCTCCAAGATTTTAATATCATGCTTCCTTACAATTTAAACTGTATTTGTTTATTGATTTATAAAGTATATAGTATTCTACTGTACCAATATGTTATGGACATTTACAACGTTTAAAAAATAGAAGTTCAAAAAGATAGGACAAATATAAAGTAATTTTTTTTTAAAAAAACAGCAAACATTGGACAAAATCAGAGGAAAATGAGAGTAGGCCACACATTCATTCATTCATTTATTCAGCATCTGTGTATTGAGAGTCAGTTGTGAGTGAGGCCCTATTTTTATACTAAGGAGACATCTGTGAATAATACAGAAAAAAACTTACCTCTGTAAAACTTATATTCTAACAGGAGAGAAATAAGCAATAAACAATTATGAAAATAAATAGGATGTTAGAAATTTTATGGACTCAAGACTGCATAAAGGATAACTGAACACATGCATCTAATTTCATTCCTCCTAAAACCCATAAAAACTATAGTCTTTCTTTCTTTCCAATAAAATCCACACGGTTAGGAGAAGTAGTAAGACATCAACAGTGAGAACACTGTGAAAGTTAGGAATTGTGCTAATTGCCATAGCAGATCTGACAGAGCCAAATCCCAAGCCAGAAACTTGGAAAGGTAAGTGTCTTACTCCATTTTCTGCTGCTTTAATGGAATATCTGAGACTGGGTAATTTATAAATAATAGACATTTATTTGGCTCACAGTTCTGGAGGCTGTGAAGTCCAAGAGCATGACACTGGCATCTAGTGAAGGCCTTCATGTTGCATCATCCCACGGCAGAAGGTGAAAGAACAAGCAAGGACATGAAACAAGGAGAGAAAGGAGGCCAAACTCCTGCAGTAACTCACTCCTGCAATAATGGCATTAATCCATTCATGAAGGCTGAGTCCTCTTGGCTTAATCACCTCTTAAAGGTCCCATCTCTCAGCCCTGTTACCATGGCAATTAAATTTCACCATGAGTTTTTGAGGGGGCATTCAAACCATAATAATTGGCAACAACTAGATTTGTAGCACAGAGAAACTCACTGCACCAAGTACCTCTAGGACCGGGGTGAAGGAAGCACTGCTAAAAAAGGAAGACTAGGTGACAAATATGTAAGAAACAGAGTCCCTACACCCCTTCATTCATTCCATGACATTAGTCAACTATCTCTTGCCCACCCCAACAAAAGTTTTATTCTCTGTAGAGGGTAAAATCATGGCTCTCTGGACTGGCAGAAAACAGCCACAGTTGAGAGCATGGGTACTTTACTCTTTCATGGAGTAAAAAAAAAATTAGCATAAAAGATCAAGAATCAAAATGGCTTCTGATTGCACCAGAATTACCTTCAAATTCAGAAGGAAGATGATTTCCAATAAGTTCCTAGAATTCCACACACTACTGTGATGATTAATTTCATGTGTCAACTTGACTGGATCATGGGGTGCCCAGACATTTGGTCAAATATTATTCTGGATATGTCTGTGAGGGAGCACCTGGATGAGATTAACATTTAAATGCATAGATTGAGTAAAGCAGATTGTCCT